TATATATGTATGTATGTATGTAGTATATGAATATTATACGGACAGTGTGTGTATGTGTGTGTGTGTGTGTGTGTGTATGTGTGTGTGTGTTGTGTGTTGTGTGTGTGTGTGTTGTGTGTGTGTGTGTGTGTGTGTGTGTGTGTGTGTGTGTGTGTGTGTGTGTGTGTGTGTGTGTGTATGTATATATATATATATATATATATATATATATATATATATATATATAATATATATATATATATATATTGATAGTTACTTGGGCTTTCTGTACCCCATACTATCTAAGAGCATCTCCAGCAGAATCGTCGAAAAAAAGTTACGTGGGGAAACTATTGAATTTTCTTCTGAAACTTTCCACAAAAACATCCCCGCTGCTCCTCAAATTTCGTTCCAGACCATCTTGCGAACCGTCGGCGCCGATGAGAAATAGATTGGAATGAACCAAACTGCACAACAGAATCACAAATGAAGCTGACGGAATGGAGGAATTAGGACCAGCGCTTTTGGCCCCGCCCTTCTCCCCCAAGTTTCGAAATATGCACAACCGCCCTTGGCAAACCTTGAGGGACGGGCGGGGAAATGTAAAAGGAACAAGTTGAAAATTCTTTCTTTTTTCCTCTTCTTGCGACGAAGGAAACTAGTTTGTTTTGCCTGACTGACTTTAACAGTTTTAACTTTGGCAAGCGAACCTACAGCCCTGGTCTCGCGTAACTGCGTTTCCGGCAAGTGTCTGAAGCAGAGGCAAAAGCGGCAAGAACGCTGTCTGGAATAAGAGTGTTTGGAACAATGTGTGCGTGGACAATTCGATCAACGTTAAATTGCGTGGTAACAGCCTTACGGAGTGTACTCATCAGGTATAGAAAGTGCAACAGCATTTTTTTTTTTTTTTTTTTTTTTTTTTTTTGAGGAGTGTCCTGGAACGAATATTGTTCTTTGAAAAACATGGGTAAGGGCGCGGGGTATTTCACAGCATTCTTTAAAAATCACGTTCACCTTAACAATTCATCATGACTACGGGTGAAAGAAAAAAAGTTTTGACGACTTATTACAGCAATTGCTACTGCATCATTAATGCAGACAAGGCTTTGAGGCCCTGTTGGTGCACTATTTCAGAAAGCATTGTTGTTGATTCTGAATTTATTGGTTCTGCAGCAACAAGTTTCCACTAACAATAACTGCAACAAGTTTCCAAAATCCATTGCCACGGCAACAAGTCCTGCGAACAGAGCTTGCAGCAAAGAGTGCTTAGTAGTAATATGCCAGTAAAGTGAGTTTGTGAGTTCTACTTTGCTCGTGCCAACTGCGCCACGGATCTGTCTGTGACGTTGAAGTAAATATTACAAGTGAGGTGAGTGAATTTCTGCGTTTGCCAGCGTTGTTGTGAACAAATTGCTCACTAAATGGCATAGTCTGGATTGTGAACAGGGGCTCACGTGAGTTTTAAGGTAAGGTCTATACACACGTAGGCAAGTGTTATGAAAATAGATATCATTCGAAATATATCACCGATAATAATGTAGATATTGATTTCAATAATAATATTTGTATTGATAAGCATATTTAAGAATTTCAAACCTAATGAGGACGATAATAATAATAGTAACAACAATAATAATAATGATAATAATAATGATAATAATTACAATAATGATGATAATAATAAAAATAACAGTAATAGTAATAATATAATAATAATAATGATGATAATAATTATCGTTATAATAATAATAATAACGATAACAATAACAGCAATAATAGTAACAATAATATAATTATAATAACAATGATAATGATAATAATGGTAAAATTATCATTATTAGTATTAGTATTACTATTATTGTTATCATCATTAACATCATCATCATGCTCATCATTATTATCATTATTATTAATGTTATTATCACTTATTATTGTTATGAACAATGATCCTACGACTACTACTAGTACTACTACTAATAATGATAATAATTTGAAAGGTCTAGTAAATTTATTCATAAAGTGAGAAAAATATCGCGAATAAAGAGAAACTGAAAAGAGTGTGAAGAGAAAGAGAGAAAGGAAAATGGAAAGAGAGAAAAGAGAGAGAGCGAGAGAAAGGCGAGAAAGAGAAAGAGAAAGAAAATGGAGAGAGAGGGGAGGGAGGGAGGGAGGGGGGGGGGAGAGAGAGAGAGAGAGAGAGAGAGAGAGAGAGAGAGAGAGAGAGAGAGAGAGAGAGAGAGAGAGAGAGAGAGAGAGAGAGAGAGAGAGAGAGAGAGAGAAGGAGAGAGAAACCAAAGAGAAACAGAACACAAAAAGAGAGAAAACACAACAGACATAAAACAGAGTAGAAAGAGAGAAAAAGCTCAAAATATAGAAAGAAAAAAAGAAAAAGATTGAGTTGCTATCCGTGCAAATGACAAGGACGAGCCCGGCCCGCCATGGTACAGTAATCCTCACCGAACCGGTCTCGGAAATCCAATAACCACCTATAAAAGCGAGGAATTATTAAGCGTTTTTTTCGTTGTAGTGGTGTGGAGGAGAGAGGGGGAAGGGGCGGGGAGGGAGGAGAGGGGGGAAGGGGCGGGGGAGGGAGGAGAGGGGGGAAGGGGCGGGGGAGGGAGGAGAGGGGGGAAGGGGCGGCGGAGGGAGAAGGTGGAAGAGGCACATGGAGAGAGGGGAGGGAAAGAGGGAGAAGGGGGAGGGAGGGTGGAGGTGGAAGAAGCACAGGCGGAGAGAAGGGAAGAGAGGAGGGGGAGGGAAGAGGTGGAAGAGGGGGGAGGGAGAGAGAAGCTGGAAGAGGCACATGGGGAGGAGGGAAGAGAGGGAGAGGGGGGAGGGCGGTTGGAGGTGGAAGAAGCACAAGGGGAGAGGAGGGAGGAGGGGAGGGAGAGAGAAGCTAGAAGAGGCACACGGGGAGGGGAGAGAAGAGGGGGAGCCGAGAGGGGAGAGGGAAGTAGAGCTGGAAGAGGCACATGGGAGGTGTGGGAAGAGAGGGGACGAGAAGGAGAAGGAGGGAGGGGAGAGGAGGGAGGAGCTGGAAGAGGTACATGAGGGAGTAGGAGAGGGTGGAGGAGGGGAGGGGATAGAAGGGGTAGGTCAGTTTGGGGCAGTGAGGAGGCGGAAGAGAAGATGAGGAGATGGGAGGAGGAGAGGTGAAGGAAGGGGAGAGGAGGAGCAAGAGAGGGGAGGGGCGGGCTGCACGAGTGCGTAAAAAGCGAGGGTTCGTAATGCCAGAGCAGATATGAGCTCCGGATATCGGTATAAAGGCCGCCCCCTTCCCGCCTGGACATGGCTGTCACCCGCCGGCGAGTTCACGGCGCGGGAGCTTGCAAACAAAAAAAGAATACGGAAAAATTGCCTCTCGTTCACTTAGACGAGAAATGAACAGAAAGTTGAAGAAAAGATTGGCTGGAATTTGAATTTAGGACGGAGTTGTGGCTTCAGATTAACTTCAGCATGAACTTTTAAATTTCCACTGAACAGTTGGATTACAGGTATGTGGAACGCGCGCGCGTGTGTGTATGTGTGTGTGTATAGAAGTCCATGGACTTTGAGTGGCTGTATCGACATGCATAATACGCGGTTACTTGTGTGCGCACGTGAGCAAGAGCAGAAGGCTGCAAATGAACAAATACTACTTCTATCCAACGGTGCATCAGACAATCGAAATATTGATTGCAGTATAAGATCATCATCAATTCATGACTAATCTTGTGTCACTTTGGATATCATCAGAGCAGTTGGAATGCTGGCGCGATATTGATTGGGGGAGGAGGGGGGGGGGGGCGATGCACAGCGGATGCAGGCCGGGGACATGTTAATTGCAGGGTCTGTGAGAGGCAATGTTACCTCAGTGGTTACATTTTTCGCCTCTCTCTCTCTCTCTCTCTTACCCTCTCACTCTTTTACTCTCTCTCTCTCTCTCTCTCTCTCTCTCTCTCTCTCTCCTCTCTCTCTCTCTCTCTCTCTCTCTCTCTCTCTCTCTCTCTCTCTCTCTCTCTCTCTTCCTTCATTTCTTTCTCTACTTCTGTCCTTCCTTGCGTTTTTACTCTACACTTCTTTACTGCCTACTCCTCCCTCCATCCCCCCCTCTTCCCCTCGTCCACTCCTTGCCATTAATGCTATCGCCTTCCTTTCCTTACTCTCGCCCTCCTTCCCTTCCCGGTCCATCCCTTTCTTTCTCCCCTCCCTTCCTTCCCTTCTTCCCTCCTCCACCCCCCCCTCTCTCTCCTCTCCTTCTCTTTCTCTTTCTCTTTCTCTTTCTCTTTCTCTTCTCTTTCTCTTTTTCTTCTCTTTCTCTTTCTCTCTTTTCTCTTTCTCTTTCTCTTTCTCTTTCTCTTTCTCTTTTCTCTCTTCTCTTTCTCTTTCTTCTTTCTCTTTCTCTTTCTCTTTCTCCTTTCTCTCTTCTCTCTCTCTCTCTCTCTTCTCTCT